AGTATATGAAATCATATGCAGGTCTTTTGTGAACAATGTTTGGTATATCAAGATACTTTCTCCTGAGGATGTGCACAAAATGGGGCACCAAGCAGTTGAATCCTTTAGCCCAAATACAGGTCAAAGGTTGAACAGCGGTGGTGGCGAAGGTCAAGACATTGTTTCAGGGCTACCATCTCTCGGCTCACTTGAATATTGAAATTTGTTGATTGTATGAAACCGTTCCACGTTCTGCTTCTAGTCCGCTTACTACGGGAGAAACTTCCGGTTGAATGCATTAGCATGTGATATGATGCTCAATCTATTTTTCTCTCTGCATTCCCCCTCCCCTCTTCCCCCCCTTTCGGCGTGCATTTCCTCGGTATTGTATGACTTATCTTTCAGAGACTATGAAGCTCTGATGAAAAAGATCTTTATGGTTAAATATATTTGAACTTTGGAAAATATTTGAACTTTAAAGATTTGTAGCATCGTATCCTTTTATTTTTCCTGTTTCTAGCAGCCAATTTATGTCGTTTGGAGTTCCTAAGATGGTAAAGAAAGATAGACTCGTGGTGCATGTTGGCTTTTTGAACTTCTCTTGCCATCGCATTGGACAATTCTTCAAGGTCCAATGCCAAAGATGCAGTTCTGAGATCCTTATCATCCCAGGGAAGCCTCGCCTCTCGGCTACATGTATGTTAATGCTTCGAGGTACTGAGCCTTGTAAATCGTACCAAAAAATTCACCAAGGTCTGTAGTCGAATGCAGTCTCGAATATCCTCAAGGATTCATCAATTTGATCCTTTGAGTTTGCGTAGGCGTTTGTAAGTTTTTGATGGGTCGAGAAACTGAGACGACCTTGCGATTTGAAGGTTTATTTCAGGAGTGCCTCATTCGATGTCAATGTGTGAAGTCTTCATCCGAGTATTGAGGATTCGGGACAAAGTGGTCATTAATAAATTGATTCCCGAGCTTATGTTGTTGGCTTTCTGAGAAACAACACTAGATCGTGGTGCAAATTGGCAAATTGTCTTTAAAAAGACGAATGCTTTTGACATGCATCTTCAAAAACATATAGTCAAAAACTTATATTTAGATTTGACAATAGACGGAGGAGGTACCTTCTACGTTGTTTTCTACCACGCCTTCTAAACCTCGAGTATGTTCGTCAATTCTTCAAATACAACTGCGAAAAGAAAAATAGATGGAGGTCTCACAACACGTCAAGAAGTGTATAGTGTAATTTCTCAAACTTGAGAATGTTTTGTGAGAGCAAGATAAACCTTGCGGGAAATGAATGAGTATGTTCGTCAATTCGTCCATTATTTGCTTTTGCCACCAAATGAATTATTTTGTAGCGGATATTGAGATTAGATGGAGGCGACACCTTTTATGTTGATTTTATCTAGGATGGTGAAGTTGTATGTGGTCAGGTTCTTCTTATCAACGGTTCTTTCTCTGTCAAGATAGAGTTAATGCCTCGCACGCGACTGTTGACGAAAAGCTAATCTTGCCTAATCCTTCTTTATTTTCATTGAAAAAGAAAGCTTCTTTCTTAACAAAATTCACATATATCTTTGCTATCAAAAACTATAAATGACTTCCTCCATTTCTTCTAGCTTGCGACGCCGTTTTTGTCTTGGTTTATCCAGAAGCACTTTATTGCATGCACTGTAAACTTGTCATCACCACCTCAATTTCTACCAGAAAGCGTTACATGCATCGGACAACTGTTCAAAGAAAGATGCTTTGTTTGTAAGCACATACGTAATTTACATATACTCAGAGCGGAGAAGAACCAGAAGATGAGAAATAACACCATGGATTACCTGCATTTTACTTCAATTTCAGCAGCAGCAGCTGCAACCTTCCCTCTCTGCATTACCAACGTTGCAGTACTACTCATCCAGTCCATGGTTACAGAAACAAGAACTGGAAAAACTCGCCGGTGGGACCTGTTGGATGGCCGATACTTGGGAGCCTTCCTCACCTCAGCATTCGCCTGCATGAAGATCTATTCAAGCTATCAAAAATTAATGGTCTACTCTTTAGCCTGAAATTGGGTTCACAGCCCGTCATTGTGGCATCTTCACCGGAAATGACATGCCAGATCTTTCGTCAACACGATGATGTTTTCTGCAACCATATCGTCACTGAGGCCTTCCGGTTAATGTCATACGAAGGGGTGTCCGTTATTTTTTTCTCCGGTGGGTACGCGGTGGAGAGTGCTAAGAAGAATATTGGCGGAAGAGGTGTGCTCTCTTAAGGCCCTGAAGGCTTTTGAACCAAATCGCAAGCAACAGGTTTGTCCGTCGCATCTAAAATTTTACCTGCTCGATGATGTATACTGCTCGGATAAACTGGTAACTGCAAAGATTGATCTTCAATTCCTTCCTAGTCCTAAATATTGAAATTGATTTTCACATGTAACTATGTAAGCCCTCCATAAATTACACTTTAAGAGAGTTATTGATTTTCTATCTAAGTGAGAGTCACGATTTAGAGCGGGTTTAAGCGAGTTAGGAGGGCGCCTAAGAGGGTCTAGGTGTATTTTTTTAATTTTCAAACGTCTAGGGACTAATCGGCGCAGTGACCGTGGCGCTAAGTAAGGATTTTTAGAACAGTAATTACAAGTGAAAGAAAAATACCACAACACCGTAGTACTAGTGGCATGATCCAATTTCATTCAAAGAACAAATTTTTTTTCAATGATTTGTATCAAGATTGTAGTTTTTAATATTTAGCTTTGGTCTATTGGAGGGATGGAAATTTTTCCTATATATCTAGGGCACGTTTGTTACACCTCTTTAGGAGGGATTGGCTTGGACTACCTTAAGTAGGACTATAATCCTACGTTTGGTAGGTTGTGGGACTAAAATAAATGGGACTCGCCTCGACTACGAGTCCCTGCGAGCCATGCTAGCCGGTCTTCACGAGTCCCCCCAAAAACCACGGGATTAGCTAGGAACTTTGCTTCGTTCTGCTTGATTCACCTCATCAACCTCGATTTCGACGGCATCTCTCTTCGTCCTGCTTGATTCACCTCCCTGCGAGCCCTTCTGTGAGTTCTGGGCTTCTTCCTCCTCCCTGCAAGGGTTCTTCCACCACCAACATCAACCAAAAAAAATCCCCATCTCATATTTCCCACCACCAACCATCACCCACAAAAAATCCCCAATCCCATATTTCCTGCCGCCACCATCGCCATGGACGCACCCCTAGGGTTTCTTCTCTTCCATCCCTCTAAACGAGGGAAAAGTATGCAGCTTGAAAGAATAACAGTTGACGACGGAGTGTAGTCTTGGTTGTCTAATGCTCAATACTTATGCCAATTCCAGTTCTGGATGTACTCTTTCCATTTCTTCAATAATCTTGAATCTTTTGTTTAATAGTAGGTTCATGGGGGTACTGAAGCAACTCTATTAAACTTCAATGTCAAAGAATCATGTGGCCATTAGAGAGTGGGCTTTCTTCTCCTTAGCCAACCTTATGAGTAACCTTGTATGTAGTAAGAGCCTTTTCGATTGCACAAAAAAGGAAGGGAGAGAACTAAAAGAGACAATGAGGGAACTGGCGAAAATTCTCGGCATATCCAATGTTGTTGTTGATTTCATCCCAATATTCAAGATCCTCAAGAATTGAAACGGAGAACAATGAAGATTTTCCCGAGATAGGATGCTTTCTACGAGAAACTTATCAACGAGAAGTTGGAAGAGAGGAAAATCAGAATCCAAAAGAGTATTAAGAAGGACAAGCCGGACTTGTTAGATGTGTTACTAGAATGGAGAAGTGATAGAGATGACGAATTGAAAAGCCTTCCTAGAAATATCATCAAAGGGATACTTTTTGTGAGTCGATCATCCAAGTGGTAGGAAATGACAGGTTTGTTGAAGAGACCGACATTGCGAATCTACCTTACCTTCAAGCGGCAGTGAAAGAAGTTTTCCGGCTCCACCCTGCAGCCCCAGTCATACAGCGTTGCACAAACGAGGCATGTGAGGTTTCCGAGTATCATATTCCTAAGCATTGCTTTGCTCTGGTAAATGTTTGGGCGATTGCGAGGGACCCGAGTATTTGGGAAGAACCTTTCAAATACAAACCAGAAAGGTTCATTGGTTCGAGCATCGATGTCAAAGGCCAAGACTTCGCTCTGCTGCCTTTTGGGAGCTAGAGAAGGGTATGCGCGGGATGGCCCCTTGCTCATCGCACGGTGCACTTTTACTTGGCAGCGATGCTCCTGCTTTTGAATGGGAATGTGCTCCTGAGATCTTGGAGAATATGGAAGAAAAAGTGGGACGTACAATTCAAAAGGACAAGAGAGTTCGGCTGTCGACTTCTGTATACATGTAATGTTCTGTGGTAGAGTCTTGCACCGTTAGCCTGTCAAATAAAAGAGCCATGCATGTGGTTAGAGTTTACAAACTGAGGCATAACCTTATGGTGGATAACACTATTTGCAAAGCATGAGGTTTGGGGTTCAGAACCCGCCACCGTAATTTGAACAAGATGTTTTGTCTTCTGACAATGGAGGGATGAAGAGTTTTGAACTTAGGACATCTTTTAGCATTGAAAAGAGAAATGATACTAGATCAAAATAACTTGTTATGTTTTTAATGAATCGTATAATACATATTTACTAGTTATTCATGTCCTTAAGAGCCAATTCGAGAAAACGTGAACATTACTGATTAAAAGGGGAAAGCAAACAATTAACATTGAAGCTAATTGGAGTAGTGATCACTGAATTTTAGCTCAATTAAAGTTTTGACCATTGAACTAAAAATCCATAAGCATTAGTTCTTGAACTTGTTTTAATATAGAGAAATGATAATTTTCTCTAACTCCATTAGAACATCAATCCAAAATAAAGGATTTAAAGAGAGAAAAAACATAGATAAAAGTTCTAACAGAATTGACAAAAAAAAAATGATTGCTTTACATCATAACAAGTTCAGTGATCAATACTCACGAATTTTCAGTTTAGAAACCAAAACTCCAATTGAGCCAAAGTTCACAATTCCTCCAAAGTTCCCTTTAAACATTAGAAAATCAGATCATAGAACATAATAATTTACATGGTAGAATTTCTTGGTTATTTGTTAAATTTTTATTTGTATCTTTTCTCAATATTTAATTAACGACTTTATGCGAAATCAGATTGCCTCCGAAATCGAAAGTATTACATGAAATCAAGCAGGAGAGCTCTGTCAATTTTGGACCAATGCCTCACAATGGCGCATATCAGGCAAACTCAATCCCACCTCACAGTTTCCGGCACCCTTTTCGATCCTTACGCAGCTGCCAAGATCATCGCCTTCTGTTCCGAATCGAACTCCGGCGATTTACGCCATGCATTTCGACTCTTCCGCCACATGCCACACCGGACCACCTACATTTGGAACGTCATGATCAGAGCTTTCGCCGAGAGAAATGAGTCTACGAGAGCTCTCTCTCTCTACAACGACATGATTCAAAGCGGCCTCCTGCCCAACAACTACACTTTCTCCTTTCTTCTTCGAGCTTGCGCCGACCTCTCATATCTGTCAATGGGTTTGTTGCTCCATTGCCATGCAATCCGGTTGGGGTGGGAGTCGTACGATTTTGTGCAGAATGGGTTGATCCATTTGTATGTGACTTGTGATTCCATAAACCCAGCTCGGAAACTGTTCGATATGAGCGTTTATAAAGATGTTGTTACCTGGACTGCGTTGATTAATGGGTACGTGAAGTCGGGCCAAGTTGAGGTTGCACGGGAGCTGTTCGATGAAATGCCTGAGAAGAATGCAGTTTCGTGGAGCGCTTTGATTAATGGGTATGTGCAAGTTGGGTTGTTCAGTGAGGCTTTGGAGCTTTTCGTCGATATGCAGGTTTCTGGGGTTTTGCCTAACCATGCCGGGATTGTTGGTGCACTCACTGCTTGTGCTTTCCTTGGTGCACTGGATCAAGGAAGGTGGATACATGCGTATGTGAGCAGGAAGGGGATGAAATTAGATAGAGTGTTGGGCACTGCTCTTCTCGACATGTACACAAAGTGCGGTTGTGTTGAAACTGCTCATGCTGTGTTTAATGAGATGCCGAGTAGGGATGTCTTTGCTTTCACTTCTTTGATTTCGGGGCTTGCAAATAGCGGTGAAAGTGAGAGCGCCATATCGTTGTTTGCGAGAATGCAGAATGAAGGAATTGCGCCCAATGAAGTTACATTCATATGCGTGTTGAGTGCTTGCAGTCGGATGGGTTTGGTGGACGAGGGATTGCGAATCTTTGAAAGTATGAGTAACATTTTCGGGATACAGCCAGGGGTCCAGCACTATGGTTGTTTGGTTGATTTACTGGGAAGAGCTGGTATGCTAGAAGAGGCAAAGAAAGTTGTGAGAGAGATGCCCATGGAACCAGACTCGTACGTCTTGGGTGCATTGCTCAATGCTTGTAGGGTTCATGGAGATGTCGAGTTAGGTAAAGAAATGGTCGAGCGCTTGTCTGGGAAAAGCTTAGACCACAGTGGCGTGCGTGTTCTTCTTTCAAACATCTACGCCTCCGCCAACCAGTGGGACGATGTCACAATGCTGAGGAAGGGAATGGAGGAGAAAAAGGTGAGAAAGGTGCCAGGATGTAGCTCGCTCGAAGTCAATTGCGAGGTTTTTGAGTTTGTTGCCGGAGACAGGTCGCATGTGCTCATGGACGAAATCACGTTGGTGTCGCTTGCGATTGACAAGCATTTGAAGTCTTTTTGGATTGATAGGGATGATGACAAACTAACTGAATAACTCAAGTTTTAGCAGAGTTGGTTTCCTCTTTTACAAACTAATTCATCATGGAGGATGTCTATTTAGGGTTGTCGTAGGAGGCAATTTCAAAAATCAGAGAAATCGAAATTTGTCAACTGCTACGATGAAGATCCGTGAAAGAACTAAACCAATACTGCGCCATTGAAACGAGGACATTGTCCTCGGAGCCAGAGAGTTCTCTTCTTGATTCGCAGACAAAGTGAGAGGTCGCAGGGGCGGTTATTAGGATGCTGAATGATTGGTCCGCTGTGGAACATCTGCATGTCAACTTTACATAGCTAGGCAGTTGTGGGATATTGTGATACTGGTTCTTGGTAGTACCGGCTGAAAATCTTAGGCAAAATGAAGGGTAAAGATTGAAGTTACCAAAAATTCCATGCATTGAAGACCAAAAGATCCACATACGGATTCGTATCAGAAATATCACCTGGAAGAGTGAAACTCATGGACACTATGATTACTTGCAGGAAGAAGTCTAGCTAACAGGTACCTAACACGATTGTCGATTATTAGAGCTATGTCTACATGTTTCAAAACTCAGTTTACAATCACCTGAAAATAAGGTACCGATTAAAACGACGAGACATTTACCCAACAATCAACAATGATCTCAAAAGTAACAACTAATTATATACCGGGTTGCAGTCCAAGTAGAACAAACACCTCCAAACTCCCAACGAGTCGTTGTCAATGTCATACCACTACAGATACCTTATAGTTTTTCACCGAACATGGAAACATTTTAGTTTTTGGTTAAGTGATCGTGGTTATTTCTAAGCCTCGAATTAATCTTTGGTCTAATCTCTCCTTATTGCAGATTTGGCTAAATGAAATAAGATTTACAACTGAATTCCCTACTTTGAGAGTTAGAACTATCATCTGCCTTCACAACGGTTAAAACTCGACCTCTCCATTTATAGCTCACCTGCAACCCATAACCCATCTCCTTATGACCTAACAATCTGTTGATGGTTATGAACCATCACCTCCCGTAATTTAGCTGGCCTCATATCCTATAACTCCCAAGTTCATTCTCTATCACTAACGGAAGGCTCACTCTGCAAACACATTAAGAAGCTCATCTGTCACCTACGAATTGATAAACCAAACAATTTAAAGCTATTGTGGCAACATATTCTGCGCAATTTGAAGTATGTTATCTGGTTCATCCAGATCTTCCCAATCAAAGTGCTAACAACAACTAAATAACCCAGCCTGCTATAGATCATATGTTTCAAATATAAAGTAATCTTTCATAGGAAACAAAGACAGCAAACATAGCCATATAAAGTAAGAAAATTCAAATTTGACACCAATATGCTCAGCAACTACCCAATGGACATCAAATTCAATAGAGATAACCCACCAACACTTATACTCGTCCTCCTATTCCTCCCCATCCAAGTAAGAGACGAGATTGACACCCCAATAACCATGAAAATCAATCGCGTCGTCATAAAGCAAGATGAAGCTGAAGGAAGACAATAAAACAGGAATACATTCTTTCACCTTTGCCAACAATACATGCGTTTGAAATGGAAATTTAGACATTGCGGAAAACCAATCATCTCTCCAATTCTTCCGAGGAATGCCAATTCCCTAGACGGCTAAAAACGGTTAAGAAAGCCCCCCAGAATAAGCTGTGTTCTAATAGTAAGGGTTTAATGCTCAACATCTTCAACATTATGGATATGCATGCCCAATTCCCATCCACCACCAGCATCAATCGATGAATCGAAGGTAAAAATAATTTCGAGCATATAACAACGTGCAACAACATTTCAAATGTAGTATCATTATATATATATAGATAAAGAGTGAGATGACAATAATTAAGTCGTAATTCGATAAATACAGACCACGGCGTACGATTTAAGCTTATTTGATCGCCAACCCACCACACAGTCACAAAGTTCTCATCGTCCAAGGGAAACATTTTTGTTTAATTATAAGATATTTATAGAATTACCAATTTGCCGTCATCATCATCATGATATTCACACGGCGGCGGCAGCTTCCTTGACTGTAGACGGTGGTGGGGAAACGGAGTCAGCGGTCACCTCCGGAATCTTGACATAACCCATCTTCTTAGGGCTAAAGTCTTCAAAATCGTCATCGGAAGAGCTGGAGCCGCCGTCGTGGCGACTGATGAAAACGGACCAAGCCAGGAACAGGATGGCGGCGGTGAGAGCGCCGCAGCCGACGCCAAAGAGTAGCGAAACGACGACGCTCAGGATGTCCTTGGTGCGATCGCGGAGGGAGCTGAGGTCGTAGGAGGAAGACCCCGAGTCCGTTCCTATAACGGGAAAGAGCGGCGCCGTCTGAGTTCGCTTCTCGCTGGCGGCGTCGTGGTGAGGGTGTGGGACGAAGCCGTCGTCGAAGCGGGCGGGGTGGAGGTGGACGGGGCGGATCTGGCTGATCTCGGTGACGATGGTGACGAAGCCGGAGGAGGAAGAGGAGGAGGGGAGGCGGCGGAGGGAGAAGGAGTAGGAGGAAACGAAGAGGGTTTTACAGGGCCTTGATGCGGTGGCGGAGATTGCGAAGAGGGAGAGGAGGGCGATGAGGAGGAGGAGGGATCGTTGACTCGTTGACGCCATGGATTACTAGCACAAAGGAAGACGGGGAGCCTCTCGTTCTCTCAGTCTTCTCTTCTTTCTCGTTTCAATTGGCAATTTAGGGTTTTAAGCAAGTTCCAGGCCCCAAATCATCTACTTATATTACCCTCAAAAACTCTAAATAATTACAACATCGTATTAGAATTGTAATTCATCGTTGTTAGATTTGGTTTAGAATTTCTATGTAATTTAGTGATTTTTCATATTAGGTTTAGATTTGAATTTTTTCAATTAGAGGTGTACTCAATTCAGATTTTAAGGGAATAGAATAGATTTATGAATTTTGATAAAGTTTAATAATTTTTAAAGTTTTTATGTAAAGTTTTGAGTGAATTTCCTCAAAATTTTAAGAAGAGATTTGATAATGTTTAAAATATGCTGTGAAATATCTTTAATTTTTTCGAGTTTCCCAACTTTTTAAAAATCTTTTCAAATCAATTTCTAAATTAATACACTTAAAATGTATGAATTTCTTAAAAATCCTAATTAAATACCCCGTTAGACTTTAAATGATCATTTAAAATCCTGATTAAATATCCTTCAATTTTTAAAGAGAATTAAATGTTTATAAACCCCAATTGGATGTACCGCTTAATTTAACTAATTGACACAACACAACAAAACCAGTTAAGATTACAAATTAATACAAAGACGACTCGTTGCGAGGTCATATCTAAAAAACTTGTCGCAATAGTATTAGAAATCAAACTTAAAATTTAATTTAGTATAATTTAGTGTGAAATAAAAAACAATCAAACCTTATTCTATTAAATAAGGTCGGCTGTATGAATATTAAAATGTCAATACGCTCAATTTTGCGTCAAATTTTCTATTAGCTCCAAATACTTTATATGTTTAAAGAATATAATTAAGTGTGGAATACCTTATGATAAATTTACATTGTGTGAATTAGCTAAATTTACAAATTGACCATTCATTTTTACTTTTTTATCTGAATCTGACTTTTCTGTTTTTTTATTTTATTATTCTTTAAATTAAAAGGAACTCGTGAAATGCCATCCTCGGCCTGCCACGCGCGAACCCCTTTACTACCAACTACCAAACGAAACAAAGGCACAGGAGACAGCCACCGTCGCAGCCATGGCGAAGCGAGTCGGCAGCCGGAACTCGAACGAGTCCGCATTGACTCGGGGCGTCAAGTCGGTCTTTCGCTTTGTTCGATTCGCCGAGTTCGAAATCCTGTTTGTTCTTTTCTTCGTAATCGCTTTCATCATTTTCAAAGATCTCGTAAGTTCCCAGTTCCTTGTTTCTCAAATTTCTTCTGATTCTTTGATTGGATTCTTGATTTTTGCATTTTGGTTTCCTAATTATCATTATATTATGTTAGTTTGGTTAATTATGTAACTTAATTTTCTAGAAATTGATTCTTTTCATATAATTAATCACCTCATGTGATATGTTAATTTTAGGGACTAACAAATTGTACAGATTCTTTAAATTATTGACCAAAGATTTGCTAGTAGGTAGTTTTAATCAATAGGGGTATTCGAACTTGGGACCTCTTGGGGTAGAGAAGTACCATTAAAGGTTCAATTTTTCTTGCAAGTGGATTGGAGCTTGAAGTGGTTAAGAGCGTTTACCCTTGCACCTGAGGTCCTATGTTCGAATCTCCCTCCGCCAAGATCGATGGTATAACAAATTAAGTAACTTTATAAAACAAGTGTTTAGTTTCTGGTTACTTCCGCAGGATTGCAATCTTAGTCTACTATATGCGTGTTGCTTAGGTAGGAAATGGTGTGGCTCTCGTGAATGTAGACAAAATGAAGGTTTTAACATAAGTAAGAAATTGACGTATGTCCTACATCAGAAAGTAAACTAAAGGCTTATGCATTTCTAGGAAGCTAAGTTAAAAAGAAAGTACTACAAAATGGTTTTGGTTTAGTGTCAAAATTTAAATGTAAGTTCATAGGAAAAGCAAAATACCCCAGTCATCCTATGGAAACCTATACCTAATTCAATAAGCCGAAATTTGATTTGATCACAGAATGCATTGTAGTTAAATGAGAATAAACGAAACCCAGCAAAGAATTTACCATTCCTAAGTTAACAAGTAGAGGAGAAACCCTCCAAAGATAGAACTAAATATCAGAATATGCCAATTACACTGCATTAATTTGAAACAGAGGATTCATTTAAGTCCTAAACCTCCCAAAGAAACTATTGCATAGAAATTTATAAGAAAAATGAAAGGCTAACTAAAAATGATGGAAAGAAACCTCCAATAGTTCTACCACTAGTTGGTCAACCGTTTTTGAAGCCCTTTTCCTCATCATCTTCTGCTTGTTTACAACAAAACCCATAGGTTACATTTGACATCATCAATGCAAAAAATGCACCAAGTTAACCTTTCCACACTTTCATTTGTTTCAATATACAGAGAGAGAGACCTAGATAGTCATGTTTTATCCTGTATTCTTCAGAATCTTTTGTATTGTTTTGTTTCAAAGCTGTTTCGTGTTAGTCAACCTTATTCTTGAGGTTTACATGAATTTGAAAAGTTGGAATCCTGGTAGTTGGTGAAGAGAAATAAAAAGGTCGTACCCAGTGCACAAGGCTCCCGCTTTACGCAGGGTCTGGGAGAGGTAAATGTCGGCTAGCCTTACCCCCATTTATGGAGAGGCTGCTCCCAAGTCTCGAACCCGAGACCTACCGCTCATGGGCGAAGGCACTTGCCATCGCACCAAGTGCGACCTCTAGTTGGTGAAGAGAAATAAAAGAAAAAAATTATGTCTGGATGAAAAATGTGTAGCAGTGAAGTAGATAGGTCTATATATTTGGTTGCCAATATGAGTGTGGCAGATTGATCTATACCTAATAGAAAAATAAAATTAGGTTGGACCGTTGGAGGGAAATTTAGGCTGGTATGTACCTATGTTAGGCTATGTTTGGGCAAGGGATTTCCATGTCCTGAGGCGTCAATGCCAAGTTATAAAGGAATTGATAAAAAATGAGGGATTACAAAAGCCCTCCATGACCATTACAAAGGCATGTGAGAAGGATTTGCAAATCCCTACTTAGAAGGTGTCATTTGCAAATCCTTCTTATATACCTTTGTAGTGATCATGGACTACATTTCTTAATCCCTCCTATCAACTTTTTTGTGATTCATTCCTTGCTACTTGGTCTCAATCCTTTGGAACTTGGCAATCCCTCAACCAACAAAAGCCTTGAGGATTTTTTTTTCCAGTTTTAACGTGTTTTTCATGTCCTTTTCTTTTTGTCGAATAACCTGCATTTAGTATCTCACGAATGATAGATTACACCTTTCAAGATGACTTGGTAAATGTTCAATTGGTTCAATGTTTTAGTGGATCAGCATATTAACAATTGAATGTGTAAACTGCAGACATCAAAGCCGGAATACAGTCAGATTCTCGTAAAAAAGCCCGGTGGCGTTAGTATTTGGCCTTACTAGCGGAATATCTCATCGTTGGATAAACATTTGGTATATCATTCGGATTTTCTTGTACTTTTTTGTAACACAACAGATTATCTTGCCATCCTTCTATTTTTATTTGCAAATCCTTCTTATATACCTTTGTAGTGATCATGGACTGCATTTCTTAATCCCTCCTATCAACTTTTTTGTGATTCATTCCTTGCTACTTGGTCTCAATCCTTTGGAACTTGGCAATCCCTCAACCAGAAAAAAGCCTTAAGGATTTTTTTTCCAGTTTCAACGTGTTTTTCGTGTCCTTTTCTTTTTGTCGAATAACCTGCATTTAGTATCTCCCGAATGATAGATTACACCTTTCAAGATGACTTGGTAAATGTTCAATTGGTTAAATGTTTTAGTGGATCAGCATCTTAACAATTGAATGTGTAAACTGCAGACATCAAAGCCGGAATACAGTCAGATTCTCGTAAAAAAGCCCGGCGGCGTTAGTATTTGGCCTTACTAGCGGGATATCTCATCGTTGGATAAACATTTGGTATATCATTCGGATTTTCTTGTACCTTTTTTGTAACACAACAGATTATCTTGCCATCCTTCTATTTTTATTTGTATCTGTACATGTAATTATATGACGATTAAACAACAGCTTTCAATATTTGTCTACGGGTTATTCGACGGACAAGGATTGTCTGCCCTCCACTTCCAGTACCCTCCTGTTTTGTGTGATCACAGTTAAGCCACGTCAACATTTTATATTATTTTTTTATAGATAGATATAATAAGACAAAAATGAATAGTAATATAAAATGTTGACGTGGTTTAGCCGTGATCACACAAACAGGAGGGCACAAGAAAGGCACCGGAAGTGGAGGGTAGACAATCCTTGTCCTTATTCGACACCAAAATTTACAGGGTGTTACGCGGGCATAACATAAACGTATCGAAAAACAGGGGGAATATCGCAATGAAGTAGATGAACGAAGTACATCCAAGTGAACAAATCGAAGTAAAATAAATAAACCAACGAATGAAATGAACAAATCATTCACCGTTATCATGACAACCAGGGAAAAAACAAGCAATTACAAACTACGAATACAATGTCTAATACAACCGAAAGATTCGGCCTTTGAAGCCATACGAATTCGGTTTGTGCACACAAATTATTCTTTCTTGAGCACTTAAGTTGCAGCCACTGACTCGTCTAGGGCACAGGGGGTAATCAGTCTCTCCACCGATACTTTCCTAACATCTCGGCGTATTCCGATGTCAGAAACCAATCTACTAACACAATACATGCCACAACCTACAGCACCCAGACCAGTAAAACTGGTAGTCATAAATCGAAGCGGTGAAGAAACAACAGCAGTTGCGGCAGCTACGAAGGAGGCAGCCTGTCCACTCCTGCCCACGCTAATGCTGGTGAACACGAGCAAGCCTGTTTTGCAATATATGGCGAAGTCTTCACAGTTGTTTTTGAAAATGTCATAACTACCAAAGCCATTCTGCAGAAGGAAAGAAGCACGGTGAAGGACATCTTCGGGAGGGTCAGACCGCGCAAGGGTACAGGTACCCCCTCTAGCCTTGGCAATAAAGAAAGCTGAAGTGACACCATATTCAAAGAGGTAAAGATCACCGCCAGATAGAAAACAATCTATGCAAGAAGACATGACACCATCAAGTGTCGATTGATCACAGTTTGGGCAGGGATTGTCCGGAGAGTGCGATGGAGAGCTGCTTACAAGGAAGCGGTCTAGCACAGTTCCTGTGCCAATTTCCTGGCCCGCTCCTCGAGTGAAGTGAACAACCTTTCCTTCACCAACATATATCCCTGAGATCACATAGCAGATAAACGATCAGCGATGCCATGTTTTCCATGGTGATTTAAATGCAGGATTTAAAAGTTAAAAAAACACAAAAGTTCTCCTCATACATTAACAAAAACTGATGGAAAGTAGGACGAAAAACTATGCATGAAAAGGAAACTGAACTGCGCAAGTTCGCCAAGCATCAAAACGACAGAAACACAGGTATAGAACTAAAAGTCTAAAATGCGACGACTCCTTGGTTACCTGCTCCAAATGGAATTTATAACTTAAACAAACCAATCAATTCTCCTACCTCATCCTATCAATCAAATATTGGGTTCGTATTCCAACAGTTCAATCTCATAGTATTCGCGGGCGCGTGTCTGCGTCTGTGTGTGTTTGCCGGGGGGAAGACTGACCCAAAAAAATAGTTGGTTAACAATCTTCTAATCAAAATTCCTAACTAGTGCTGAATATGCTGATCCATTAACTAACCATGCAAGTTGCTTGACTGTAAACTCAATGTTGTCTCTCAAACTATTTGTCTGATAAAAAGAATTAACTTCTTCAATGTTAAAGCATCATTATTTTTTTCCGACTGTTGCTATTCGAATTTTCCTCTTCCACTTAAGCTGAATTTAAACCATACCATTCCCCTGATTCAATACTTACTAACAACATTCACAACAACAACAACAACAACAACAACAAAGCCTTTTCCCACTAAGTGGGGTCGGCTATATGAATCCTAGAACGCAATTGCGCTCGGTTTTGTGTCATGTCCTCCGTTAGATCCAAGTACTCTAAGTCTTTTCTTAGAGTCTCTTCCAAAGTTTTCCTAGGTCTTCCTCTACCCCTTCGGCCCTGAACCTCTGTCCCGTAGTCACATCTTCGAACCGGAGCGTCAGTCGGCCTTCTTTGCACATGTCCAAATCACCGGAGCCGATTTTCTCTCATCTTTCCTACAATTTCGGCTACTCCTACTTTACCTCGGATATCCTCATTCCCAATCTTATCCTTTCTCGTGTGCCCACACATCCCACGAAGCATCCTCATCTCCGCTACACCCATTTTGTGTACGTGTTGATGCTTCACCGCCCAACATTCTGTGCCATACAACATCGCTGGCCTTATTGCCGTCCTATAAAATTTTTCCCTTGAGCTTCAGTGGCCTACGACGGTCACACAACACGCCGGATGCACTCTTACACTTCATCCATCCAGCTCGTATTCTATGGTTGAGATCTCCATCTAATTCTCCGTTCTCTTGCAAGATAGATCCTAGGTAGCGAAAACGGTCGCTTTTTGTGATCTTCGCTAGATTGCTCCGGTCATTAGTGTGGATAAGTATATAAATGGATAGAGATAGAAAAGCAAACACAAGATGTACGTGGTTCACCCAGATTGGCTACGTCCACGGAATAGAAGAGTTCTCATTAATTGTGAAGGGTTTACACAAGTACATAGGTTCAAGCTCTCCTTTAGTGAGTACAAGTGAATGATTTAGTACAAATGACATTAGGAAATATTGTGTGAGAATGATTTCGTAATCACGAAACTTCTAAGTATCGGAGTGTGGTGTCGTCTTGACTTGCCTTATCTGTCTCATAGGTAGATGTGGCATCTTCTCTGGAAGTACTCTTCCTCCATCCAGGGGGTGGTATCTTTAACTGGTGGAGATGCACAAGGTAATGTATCAATTTCACTTGAAGCTTACTTGTAGTTTCAGGCTTGGTCAAGCGCGATACAAACCATGTAGTAGGAGTCCCCCAAGTCGCCGAGCTAGGGGGTCTGCTGAAAGAGGTGACAGACAAGGTAAGCAATCAGAGCTCCGACTGATTGTTCACCTTCTCCCCATCTTGCAGCAGCATGAAGGATAAAGAGAAGAAAAATGAAAAGAGATGATATGAGATACTTTTGCTTTTGAAGAAGTAACTTTCCACAGGCTTATTCTTGAACTGAGCTGGAGGGGTTTCTGGTTTCCTCCAGAGTATAAGGCTGACTGAAGAATTTGAGGGTCAAAACAAGTCCATCAAATCTAGAGTACGTTCAACCCTGCTGATATGGGATACTTTTGCTTTTGACAGAGTAATGGATGTATCGGCACGTGTGCTGTTACGCTTGTCTCCACATGCTTCCTTGTATCCTTCGCACTTGCCCTATCTGTCCCTCAAGCAGATGCGGAATCTTCCCTGGAAACATAAGATGTTAAAGATGAGTACTCGAGAGCAATGCCAGGTAAGTAATCAGGTAAGGGGTTCCAGGCAGTCAGTTCCTGGCTGGAAGCTTGATTCCAAATGCTGACTGATTGCTCTCTTTCTCCTTGTCTTGCAGGTAAAAACAAGGCCAAAGGAAAAGACAGGGAAAAAGCATGATATGGGATACTCTTGCTTTTAACCCTGATGATATGAGATATTCTTGCTCTAGTATAGCTTGTTTGCAGAGGTATTATCGGGGGGAAAGAAAACTGAATATTTCGAAAGGCTTCGTTGGGAGTGCCCTCTCAGATATGATGAAGGGTTGAGCATTTTTGCAGGTCTGCCTGTCCGTTGGGGATGGAGGTCGACATATATAGGAGTCTCCCTAACAACAAGTAGTAATGCTATTCCTTTACCCTGCTTGGTCATAGCACGGTAGTGGGAGTTGCCAGTTTCACATGTTTTAACTCTGTCAGAGCACTTTGAAAAAGTGGTCTGTGGTATCTGGCTCTCGAGATTCGGAGAACGATGCCTCTTCGATTTTTGAGAAAGCAATCATGCTGGGGTCTGGCTCTCGAGATTCGGAGAGCAGTGTCTCTTAGATTTTTGAGGAAGTAATCATGTTGGGAGTCTGGCTCTCGAGATTCGGAGGGCGGTGCCTATTCGATTTTGGAGCAAGCAATCTTGTTGGGAGTGTTGTCTCGAATGTGAGTAAAGGTTGGGCATGTTTGCTAGTCTACCTTGCCACGAAGCACAAAGGTTGACACACAGGGACTTTCCAATTATCCAGCAATGGTACTGTTCCTTTACCCTCTCTTCGATTTTGAGAAAGTAGTCATGTTGGGAGTCTGGCTCTCGAGATTTGGAGGACGGTGCCTCTTCGATATCCAGCAGTGGTACTGTTCCTTTACCCTTGTGGGTAATAATATGGTAGCTAGACCTTCAAAATTTATGTGTCTAAACTTTGTTAGTGCTGTTTCTTTGCTATTCTTTTACCTTTCTTGGTCAGAGCGATGTAGTGGGAGCTGCAAGCTTCACGTGCTCAACTTTGGCAGAGAACTTTGGCAAAGTCATCTGTGGTACCCATGAGCTATTGTTGCGTGTGGGAAGTGGATGATTGAACAGTAAGATTCATGTGCTTTCTACTTCACCAGAAGTCTTCGACAGAATGCCCATAATTTCTGCAAAGCTGAGTGTGCGTGTGACAGGTGCTGACAAGGCTAGAAAAGTAGGTGCCTCTTCGATTTCTGAGATCGGCCCTCGTGGTCTCTGAGCAGCCCAGCTTTTGAGAAAGCGAGCGCCTCTTCGATTGATTCGGAGAACGATGCCTCATCGATTTTTGAGAAGGCAATCATGCTGGGGGTCTGGCTCTCGAGATTCGGGGAGCAGTGTCTCTTCGATTTTTGAGAAAGTAATCATGTTGGGAGTCTGGCTCTCGAGATTCGGAGGGCGGTGCCTCTTCGATTTTGGAACAAGCAATCTTATTGGGAGTGTTTTCTCGAATGTGAGTAAAGGTTGGGCATGTTTGCTAGTCTACCTTGCCACGAAGCACAGAGGTTGCCACACAGGGACTTTCCAATTATCCAGCAATGGTACTGTTCCTTTACCCTCTCTTCGATTTTTAAGAAAGTAGTCATGTTGGGAGTCTG